TAAAATCCAGGAAGGACAGTAAAACCAGGGTATTCAGACCTCTGCTGATCTCACACTGAGCACAGAGCTCTCCAAAACGGGGTGACTCTGCCCCAAGACCCCCATTAATACTCCTTTACCTGGTTGGGAAGGGGGGGGGGGGGGCTGGTTCCTGGAGCCATACAGACCAGAGTAGATGAGATTTAGGAGTGGATGGGTTTGGGAGGCAAGGAAATGGTAAAGAGAGTCTCCCAGGCTTTGTTTGTTTTGTTTTGTTTTAGGTTTATTTATTTTGAGAGAGAGACAGAGAGAGAACAAGCAGGCGAGGGAGAGAGGGAATCCCAAGCAGGCTCTGCGCTGTCAGCATAAAGCCTGACATGGGGCTCAAATCCACAAACCGTGAGATCATGACCTGAGCCGAGATCAAGAGTCGGATGCTTAAAGGACTGAACCACCCAGGTGCCCCCCTCTTTTTAATTTTTTTTTTTTTCAAAGATAAATTCGTGCACTCTTGCAATGCCGAGGAAAGTCAGGGATCCTCGGTTTCAATCCTGTATGAGCTCATGATTCACTGCGACCACAAACATACTGCAGATACTTGCAGCATCTGTAAAAAGCTGAGAATCGCTACCACTTGCCGGATCACCAAGAAGATCCACGCAAAGGTTTCAATTCAGGAACGCCAATTCGACTCCAGGCAGTAGCAGCTCCCTATTCTGGTAATGCCCGGCAGAGGCCGCGGGGCATCTCGGGACTTGTAGTCCAGCTGGTCGAACTCGCTATCCCGGCATGTCCCGCGGCGGCGTCAAGGTTACCACGCGCCGCCTGCTGCGGCTGCCGAGACTAGAGTAGGGTGGATGCCAAGTGCAAGTGGGAAGGGTGTTTTGCGCCCAGTGAAGGCGGGCTTGACTTCCATATCGGGGAGACCACAAAGAGCTTTATTGAAGAGATTCCGGACGAGACCATAATTATAGGTGCGGGCGGAGGGGAAGAGTTTGGAACAAGACCTTGGGGTGGGGAGAGTCAGCTCTTCCAGAGCCGGGAGCAGCCGGTCTCGCCGCGTGCTGGCGTGGGCCGAGTCCATGCCACCTCGCGCTCATCTGACCTCCAGGAAACTACCGGACGCAGCTGTATGACAAGCAGCGGAGGAGTACCAGCCGGCCACCCCCGGGCTCGGCATGTTCGTGGAGGTGAAGGACCCAGAGGACAAGGTGAGCCGACCCCAAAGCCCACGGAGCCCTCCGCCCTGCGCTTAGGCGCCAGACCAGGCAGGTGCTGGTACTTCCCCTCCTAGTTGCCGCATCTGCTGAACTGCTGAAGACAGTTGGGTGTTGTGAGAAGATCGCGCCCGGCTTTGCGCTCTAGGCCAAGCTTGGGCTGCTGCAGTGCTAGCGGCTCCTCTCAACCTCTTACCGACTGCTGCGTGACTCTGCCAAGTCACTGAGCTTCCCTGAGCCGGTTTCCTGGTCTGTGACATGGAAACTCACCTATCTTACAGGTGTGGTTGGTGCCTTAATTGTGGTGCTGGCAGTCAAAGAATTTTGTCAACTCTAACGCTGTGGCATCCAGACTTTAAGGTTTCACAGGACAGAGTGCTT